ATAAAGGCCAGATTTTAATGATTTTAGGCTTTCTGGACCATGTGGTCTGTTCCACAGCCACTCAACTCTGCCATTGTAGCACAGAGGAAGCCATACACAATATGTATACAAATGAGGAATAAGCCTGTGTCCCAATAAAACTTTTTTTATGGGCACTGAAATTTGAATGTCATATAATTTTAACATGTCATGAAATATTCTTCTTCTGACTTTTTTTCAAACATCTGAATATGTGAAAACCATTCTTAGCTGATGGGTTATACAAAAACAGGCAACAGGCCGGATTTGGCCCATGGGCTGTAGTTTGCCAGGCCTTTATCTAAAGCCTTGCAGGCCACTGAAGGAAATATGGATTTTGCTCTAACATAATGGAAAGTCACTGGGAAGTTCTGAGCAAAGAGTCTTTGAATATGAATTACAGTTTTAAAAGACCATTCTGGCTATTCTTTTGAGAATGGATGAGGGGACAAGACAGACTAGCATGGAAAAGTGACTTACTCAGGGCCACAGAAAGAGAGAGGGGACGAGGATCGAAGCGGTCTCTAACTTGGCCAGTGGAGATCGTCATATAACTAGGTACAGTGAAACGTGTTTATCCAAGTTACACTAGAACAAATTCAACAAACCGATTTGTTTTGTCTTTCTGTACTTTAGGAATGGGAAATGAAGAAGACCTAGAAATAGGATGAGGATTTCATTCCAAAGGAAATATCAGCTTGTCCACCTAAGGCGGAAATGCTTTTATCACAAGGAGATGCCAAGAGAAGACTAGAAGTGGGCCCCACTCTCTGGAGCACCCAAAAGACCAGCCTTTATTGTCTGCATGATTTTAGGGGATACGGGGAGGGAAGAAGTAGAAGGGAATAGGGAAACAGAGGGCATCCTTATGACTTTACAAGGGGCGGAAATGTGGGTTGAGGGAGACAGAAGTCTGCACAGTTGTAAAGGTTTTGTTAGATGTCTTGGCCTTCCTTTCTGAAGAAATGAAAGCACATGTGAATAAGCCATTCCATCCCATTCTCAGCATCCCATTCCCAGTCCTTAGAGCAAAGGAAGGCAGTGTTGAAGCACCAGTGGTGTAGTGTAAAGACACAAGGCTTCATCATCTGATCACTTTGTGCCAACTGGATTCATGCTGGGCATTACTGACAACCTCTGGGCAAGGCAAATGGGCTGAACAATCAATAACATTATCCCTGCCTGCATAAATGTGAACAAAAGCTATAGAGAACATGCGAATTGTACAATCATTCCTCACTTGCTTAGAGCTAGACAGAGTGCGGCTACTAGAATCTTCTAGATTTGAATGTTTTAAAATCAGATCTGAGTATGCAGAAGCCAGGTGAAGTTCAGTAGCTGACATATTTTAAGCTGACAGTTATCTTCAATAACAGGAGCATGGAGTTCTAATGTCCACAGGATGTTGCAGGCGTTGTAGGGTGGGGTCATTTCTGGCAATCAAGTCCCTTACCTATTTTATATGACACTGAGGTAAACAGGAGACACTATGTCTTTATCCTAATGAAGTCATCATCTCGCAATCAGAAGCCCACTGGTCTGCTCTTCCATATCTGGTATAAAGTTAAATTATCAGGGAAAACCAAGAGGATGATGACTTATTTCTGCCACATGGGTGCTAAACCTTTTACAAACACTTGATACTTTTATAGGGCAAAGACCTCAAGTCCCGGGCAGTACTCTTACTGTGCTACTCACTATTGTATCAACACTGTCGGCACTTTATGGGGCTATTTGAACACATTTCCCTCCAATAAAGGTAAAAACCATTTAACTCTTAAGAGCTCAAAGCTTAGCTCAAAGGAGGAGAGAAGGAAAATCCTACAATTACCTTTGGACACTTTGCTAGAGGCTTTACATATTTTACCACACCTCAGGCTTTACATACTTTAGCCTCACTCAAATCTTACCACTCCCTAAGGTAGCTGGAGACCTGACAAGTGGTGACCCAGCTAATCAGTGGCAAAGCATAGGACTTAGGGGTTATGAGCCTAGATCCAGATAAGTCTGGGTTTGAGCCCTGCCTCTGCTGCTGACCAGCTGGGTGACCTTGGGAGTCACTAGACCTCTTTTGACTCTGGGCTTTCCTTATCTGTGAAAACACGGTTAACAATTGTTACCTTTCCTCCCAAGACGGCTGGGAGGATTTAATGAGATAATACATAGGAAGCATCTTGCAGAGTGTCCAAGAAATAGGAAATGATTAGTCAGTAGTGGCTGTTATTATTAGATAAGAAATATCTGACTCAAAAGCCTGTGTTCTTTCCACCAAGGAAGAAATAACTTTTACGTGGTAATTACAGCCACCAAAAGCAAAAAGGCAACCAATCCATAACTGATCGTTTTCATCTAAATTCCACTTCAGTGTCTTCAGAGACAAAGGAGCTCACATACTCTGCGTTGTCAATGTTCTTTTTTAAAATGTGGATTCTGGAATGGCCCCCAACACTCCAGCTATATCCTCAGTGTCTGTCATACTCATTCTTATGCAGTTATTTTGGGGTTGTCTTTTCCCACCAAAAGATCTTGGACTTTTGAAAGGAGGGAGCCTAAGTAATTAATAATTAATATTTATCAAACACTTACCATCTGTCGGACACTGTATTAACCAGGGCCAGCTTCATAGGCATGCAAGCCATGCAGTCACACAGGGCCCTAACGCTTAGAAGGAATGTGCCCTACTGTTGCCTTTTTAATGATTTTTGGAGAAGGGGTTCTGTGTTATCCTTTTGCTCTTTAAATTATGTAGCCAGTCCTGGTGCTAACTAATCGCTTACCTGGATGATTTAGTCTTCACTAAAACCCTGTGAGATAGGTTATATTATCCCAGTTTTCACAGTTCCAGAAATGGAGGCCCAGAGAGGTCAGGTAACCTGTCCAAGCTCACATAGTTAGAAAGTGGTGGAGCCAGCACTTGAATACAAGTCTGGCCCTAGAACCCTTACTCTTAATTCCAAAGCTCTACTTCATCCATGTGTCCCCCTTGCCCTGCACTACAGCACTCAGAAGCACATTAGCACTTAATAAACGGATGAATGGATCGAAGTATGCACACAGCACACTTGGTGTAGGTTGAGCAGCTAGGAGAAATGTAAGCAAAATGGTGAAGGCATGGATACCAGTTCTTGTTTTTGCTTGTTAAGATGCCTTGTTTGGTTGTATTCTCTCAAAGTACAGATCGTAGGTCCAAGGTGGACCTGAAGCTCCATCGTTCCTAACACTGCCAAATGTTTAGTCTGTCAGAATTCTAGTGTCACTGGATCCCCAGTGGGGGACCTTGCATAGATTCACCAACCTCTCTGAGCCTCAATTTTCCCATATGTAAAAGGGGATCGTAATACCTCCCTAAACCATGTCGCCCTTCTCATAAGGCCAAAAGAAAATATAAGGTGTTGCTTGCAACACATTCGAGCTGGGCCTCCGATGCAAATACTTCAGCTCTGTCCTCATGGACCTCACAGACAAGCAGAAGAGAAAAATCTCACACAAATGCCTATAAGTCAGTCACGTTGTGGTGTGATTGAGTACTCAAGAACGTGTCTTGTTACTTAAAAGAAAAAGCGTTTTTGTTTTTGTTTTGTTTTTTCTTGAGGGGCTATCCAGTAACCAAGCTTGCAACTCCAAGTGCCCTGGACCACAATCACCAGTCCATCCTCACATCCTGTCAGCTTTCCATCCTAAATCTCTAAAATTCATCCACGTCTTCCTGTCTTCACTGACACCATCCAACTTCATTCATTCATTCAACAAATACTTATCGAGCACCTACTATACTAGATGTCAGAAATCAGCTGTGAACAAGTCAGACATCTCATGAAGCTCACATTCTAGTTGGGGAGACAAAAAGAAAGCAAAACAAAACACTAAGACAGAAACAAAAAGAGTGCTGGACATGGCTACTTTGGACAGGGTGGTTATGAAAGTCTCTCTATTGAGGTGATCCCAGGACAGAGCACCACCCTCTCTTGCCTGGGCTATTATAACATATTGTCTTCCCTACCTCTTTTCTTTACACCTTATGATCTCCTCCATTAAGCAAAGTGACTCTTTAATCATATAAAGGCTAGCTGGGCAAGATGACAAGCACCTATAGTCCCATCTACTTGGGAGGCTGAGGCAGGAGGATCACTTGAGCCCAGGAGTTTGAGTTTGCAGTGAGCTATAATGACGCCACTGCACTCTAGCCCAGGGAACAGAGCAAGAACCTGTCTCAAAAAATAAAATATAAAATAAACACGTAAAAGCTGTCACATGTTCCCAGTACCATCAGAATAAGACTAAATTTCATTCGGCAAAAAAATGTTGAACACCTACATTAAGGCACTGCTCAATGGGAAAGGACAAAAATATTTGTCTTAATGAAGCTTATATTTTAGTGAGGAGAAATGAGACAATACATACCACTAAAAAAATTAAGTCACAAAAAGAGGGCACTGGAGGAAAAAGCAGGAAAGAGTGATGGGTAAGGGTTCAGGCTAAAATGCCTTAAATTGCTCACGTGCTCTGGCCTCACCTAACTACAAGTCCTATGTTACCGCCCCTCTTCCACGTATTTCAGTCCCTTACACGCAATATGCTTTCCTCTTCTCTGGGCCTTTGCAGGTGATGTTTTCCTCTGCCTGAATCCTTTCTTTCTCTTTTCATTTATTCATTTTTCAGCTGTCAGCTCAAAAACCCCTTCCTTTAGGACAACATCCTACAATCGGCCATATTTGTATTCTAGGCTGCCGCAGCACCATGCTTCTCGCCTTTAAACACCATTCATATTTTGACTTTATATCGCCTTTGTATTTATCGTTTACAACGTCACGTAAACTCCATGAGTGCACAGGCGTGACCCGCTTTGTTCGCCGCGAACCCCGCGCCTCTTAAGACAGGGCCAGGTCCTACTGGCACTACACGCTGAGAAGCGGAAGTGTTGCGTTCGAGGCGGAGGACCGGGAACAGCAAGGCACAGAGGAAAACCGGAAATAAAGAGTTCCTGCCCGGAAGCCCTGAGAGGGAAACGCCTGCAAAGGCTGCCGGGAAGCGTGGTTTCTAAGTGGGAGCGTCTCTTCACTTGGAGCAATTGCGCGTGCGCTGCCTCCGTCAGCCCAAGTCGGGAACATGGCCGTGCGGTCGCTGTGGGCGGTCCGGCGGCGGGGGCAGCGCCTCCTGGCCTGGAGCACAGCGTGGGAGAGCAGGTAAGCGCTGCAGGCGGGGGGTCGCGGCCGTGAGGACTATGAGGGAAGACCTGGCTGGCGGAGGGTGGTTGTGGGCTGAAGGGTGAGACTTGGGCAGGCGAGAGGACGCACCAAGCCTCTCGGCCTCTGCGACCAGGCGCGCTCACGGCTCCATTTTACAGATGGGGAAACTGAGGCCCACAGCCGCGCCTTTTTCCCAGGCCGAGAAAGGTGGGAAGATCCGGGGTCATGCCTGGGAGGTGGCAAGTCTCTTAAGCCCCAAGCATCGACTGAATTGGGGATGTACCTTTTTCCCCGCCTTTTCTCCCCTTTGGTATCTTTGGGTAAATTTGGGTTCTTTCCCCCGATTCCGTGTGCCCCTACGCCTGGCTCATCTCCTTTATCTGGGCATTCATTATTTTACCTGTCGGTAAAAGGAGGGCGTTGGACTTGATTTCTCCTTACGGCCCTTCCATGTGCCATGGGGAGAATGAAGTTCCAGTTGCTGCTTTTATCCATCGGCAGCTTTTACTAGTCTCTTACCGTGCCGACTGCAAAACTATGGGTAGTTCTTTTTTTTATTCCCTCTTTACTAATTGAGGAGACTGAGGTTTAGAAAAGTCAAGTAACTTTTCCAAACTTAAAAATATTTGGGAAGCGGTAGAACCAGTGAGAGCTCTAAAATTGGCGATTTCTTCCTGGGAAAAGAGAATTAAAAAAATCACAGAGTTGGACCTCCAAATTGTAAATTAAGCTGCGGGAGAGGGAGGAAAACAGCTGGTAAATTTGCAGAAGTATTTGTCACCTTTTTTATCTTAACACACCAGACCTAACACTCCAGCCCTAGCACCTAGGTGAGGGGTTGAATTCAGAGGTTGGGGTTTGGTTTGGTTTGACTTGGCTTTTTTCCAAATCTTTTGGGCAGTTTGTTGGTGATGTAGGGAAATGACCAAAAGAAAAATGATTCTTTCCGATAGATTTCCCCCCACTCCAGTTCTGAAGCAGTAGGAATCTGGGATTGGCTGTAACTCTGCTCTTTTTCTCCATCTGAGTTCTGACTATTTTCTCTTTTAACTGGCCCTGAGAATTTTTTTTTTTTTAATTTTTATAGAGATGAGATCTTGCTATGGTGCCCAGGCTGGTCTCAAACTCCTGGCATCAAGCGATCCTCCCACCTTGGCCTCCCAAAGAGGCCCTGAAAATATTTTGACCTGCTTTCAGTTGAGTAAATGTGTTTTTTCGGAGGGAAGGAGGTATTTCACCGTGTGTAATTGTCAAGATCTGTGGTGACCATATTTTCTGAACCAAGAATTTGGAACCTTGTGTGATCAGACACTAGATCATAATAATTAAATTCAGGACCAGCCCGGAAAGTGTGGAAGATAAAAGTCCTCTTGCCCACACCTTTAAACTAGCTGTGTACTCTGCCCAGAATGCTCTTCTTTGCCCACTTTAAATCTTTACTCGGCTGTCACTTCCTTGGCCACTCTCCAGTATATGGCAGTTTGTATAAATAAGCTAGCTATTTGTTTTAACGAGCTTCTGTACTCACTGATTGATTGTCCTGATAATTTTACTTGAAATCAAGTTGTGAGGACCCAAGATGTGTAAATGGAGACTTACTTGAACTAGGGGTCAGAACTGCCACAGCTCAAGATCTGCTATAAACTAGCCCCTAGTCTAAATTTCTTCCTGTGTAAACTGAACTAAATGTCAAATATTTGAGCTGTACAAAATTTTAGATTACATAACTAGTGAATATAAGATCTATAAGTATTTCATTGACTTGATTTTACGTTTAGGTGAGTTCCCAACTCAGAATTTCTCTTTCTCAGCACAGATTGTCTTACCTAAAAGCCATATAACTTGTGGTCAAGAAGGCTTAAAATTCTAAGCTTAATTCTAATTTGATAAGGTCCCTTGACTGGACTTCATTTTTGCAATCTGTAAAATGAGGGATTGAACCAGAACTATATGACGTTGTGTTTTTTAATTCCCACTTCTGATATTGCCCCTCTGGTTCTGGGTATTAGCACTTGGTTTCCTCTTTGCTGACTTTTGTGTATATTCTTGTGGCTGTTTCTACTGCTTGATGCTCAGTATCCTGAGTCAGCAGAATGCTAGCTGTGTGGTCTTGAGAAAGTCATTAAGTCTTAAGCTTCTCAGTGTCAGTTTTCTCATCTGTAAAATAGGAATAATAATAGGACTATTTCACATGTTGTTAGATGAAAAGATGATTCAGGTAAAACTGTCTGTTACATACTAAGGGCTTCGTAAGTGTTCATTAGTTACTATAACTGAAAACACTTTCTCTAGAGAGTCAGTCTGGGAACCTTATGGTCTCTAAATTTTGTTACAATTTTGGGTTTTTATGATGTCATTTCTTCATTATGTGCCACCTCACTCCCACTTTAGGGGCTGGCTACTTCCATTTAGCACCGCCACCCAGAGAACGGCTGGTGAGGACTGCAGTTCCGAGGACCCTCCTGATGAGCTTGGGCCCTCTCTTGCCGAACGAGCCTTAAGGATAAAAGCTGTTAAACTGGAGAAGGAAGTCCAAGATTTAACAGTGAGTAAATTTTATATTATCTGTTCTTCACATCCTCTCTCTAGTTTAAATATCCAAGTAAAGTTTTTTGTGTCCTTTTTTTTTTTTTTTTTTTTGAGACAGAGTCTCACTGTGTTGCCCCGGGCTAGAGTGCCGTGGCATCAGCCTAGCTCACAGCAACCTCAAACTCCTGGGCTCAAGTAATCCTTCTGCCTCAGCCTCCCAAGTAGCTGGGACTACAAGCATGCGCCACCATGCCCGGCTAATTTTTTTCTATATATTTTTAGTTGTCCGATTAATTTCTTTGTATTTTTAGTAGAGACGGGGTCTCGCTCTTGCTCAGGCTGGTTTCAAACTCCTGAGCTCAAACAATCCGCCTGCCTCGGCCTCCCAGAGAGCTAGGATTACAGGCGTGAGCCACCGCACCCGGCCTTGTGTCCATTTTTAAAATGAAATTTCCCCTAATTGGCTCCTTATGTACCCCCTCACCCCTCTTCCACTCTCTTGCTCAGTATACTAGGCAGAAAAATCTGTAGTAGTTCAAAAAGGCCACTGGCTAAGGGGACTCATCTCTTTCCAGTTCCCTGTTATGCCACATCACTTAGATTATCTGATATTTTGGCAGTTTAAAGGAGGTATGGTGCCTGGCATGGAGTAGACAATAAATGTTAAACGTGTGAGGTCACTGACTATTATTCTTTACTGATCTGACCACATCTGGCCTACTGGACTCAGTCCTGGGTTGACGGACACACTTAGAGGGAGATAGATAAACCAGAGTAATTCCAAAGCAAGACCATCCAGAATGGTAAGGAGACTTGAAAGCATGTCTTGGAGAACAACTGAAGGAACCAGGAATTGTGAGAATGAGAGAGAAAGGGACTAAAGGGGCTAAAATAACTGCCTTCAAATAGATGACATACTTTTAAAACTTATTCTCAGCTGTCCTAGAGTTCAATGCAATGAAAGAAAGGTAGAGGTTGGCAGTGTTAGCTGAACGTGGAAAGAAAAAAGCTTTTTCCTCAAGATAATGAGCTTGAAAATTATTTTGTTCAAACTGGCGGGCTAAATGACTAACTAATCAGGGCTGCTATTAAGAGTAGGTTTCTGCTTTGGCTGAGGATTTGGAGTAACCAATCTAAGATTTCTACAACTCCTAGTTTGTTGTATAAAAACCTATCACAGCTGGGCAGAGTGGCTCACACCTGTAATCCTAGCACTCTGGGAGGCCAGGGTGGGAGGAGCGCTTGAGCTCAGGAGTTCAAGACTCAGCCTGAGCAAGAGCGAGACCACATCTCTACTAAAAATAGAAAAATTGACCGAGTGTTGTGGCACACACCTATAGTCCCAGCTATTCCAGAGGCAAAGGCAAGAGGATCACTTGAGCCCAGGAGTTGGAGGTTGCAGTGAGCTATGATAACACCACTGCACTCTACCCAGAGCAACAGAGCAAGACTCTGTCTCAAAAACACTATCACAAGGATGAAATTTGTAAAGTAAGCAAAAACATTCCTTTTCACCAATAAGCATTTCTTTTTTCATTCTTTTGACTTTGATTTTGATGTTCAGGTGAGATACCAGAGAGCTGTAGCTGACTGTGAAAACATAAAGAGGCGAACCCAGAGATGTGTGGAAGACGCCAAGATATTTGGTGAGATTTATTGATTTTGAATTTATTCAAAATTTTATTATAGTATTGTCTTCCTTTGAATAGTCATGGTGTGCCTTTGCTATTCCTGATTGATCTTTATCAGAACAGAACTTTGTTTTACTCTTGAGTGGAAGTCTAATCTGATCAGCATACTTTTCAAGCCTTTGTCTCATCTCATTTGCAGCTGATCTCTTAACAGCCATTAACGTATTTTATGGCTGCCATCCCTAATGGGGGTGGCGAGAGGAGGTATCTTGTGAAAATTTGATCGCACAAAGCCTGGTTCCCTGGAACCTCCTGGTTACACTCTTTTCCTCTCTGTTGACTCCTCTCCTACATCAGACCCAACCATATCATACTTAAATCACTTCAACTGGCTCTCTTAGTTCTTTCTTCCCCCCCCATTCATCATGACCCCCGGTACCCCAAATTCATTATATATGCTGCCTAACTAATTTGAATCACGTTTCTACTTGTTTTTCTCAAGAAGCTATAATGGATCTCTGTACCCCCAAACTGAAAATAGAATTCCTGCCTCTATCAGTCTTTCCCTCCCATCCAGGCAGTAAGTCTGGGAAACGTCTTCTCAGCCATCTCTTTTATTGCTTGCCTATGGCTGATCTTCCTTCTTAACTTTGAGTACAGTTAAGGCAGCTACCTATTTTGGCACAAGGCCTTAAACCTGTCCCTAGATTAAAGTCAGATCAATAAAGCCCTTGCCTCTCACCAGCCCCCAGAGATTCGGTATTATGTCATAGACATCTCTGATGATGGTATTCCTTATCTTCATTTCTGTAAGAAAAATCCAGTTCTAGAATTGGCAGTAATGGGATTTCTCAACAAATAAGTTTATATTTGTCTTATACCAGTTCATGGGACTCATAGAAGATCAGACACGTTTTGTGGCCCATCTCCAGCAACTTTATAGTAGACTTGCCTCATCTGTGGATGTGTCTTACATTCCTGTCCTATTAAGCCAGTCCTCAAGAATAAACCAGTCTCGGCCGGGCGCGGTGGCTCACGCCTGTAATCCTAGCACTCTGGGAGGCCGAGGCGGGCAGATTGTTTGAGCTCAAGAGTTCGAAACCAGCCTGAGCAAGAGCGAGACCCCGTCTCTACTAAAAATAGAAAGAAATTAATCAGACAACTAAAAATATATAGAAAAAATTAGCCGGGCATGGTGGCACATGCCTGTAGTCCCAGCTACTCGGGAGGCTGAGGCAGAAGGATTGCTTGAGCCCAGGAGTTTGAGGTTGCTGTGAGCCAGGCTGATGCCATGGCACTCACTCTAGCCTGGACAACAAAAGCGAGACTCTGTCTCAAAAAAAAAAAACAAAATAAACCAGTCTCGACACTCCTTAGCATAATGTGGTCAACTTGCTTTTTTATTGTTGCAAAGTCTCTCCCCATGAAATATTAATGTCTTATCTCTGTTGAGGATGTATGACTTAGCCCAACTGAGATAGGCAGGAATTTTCAAAATGTTCATAACTCAATACTAAAAGTGACTAGCAATAAAAATTTAAGATGCAGAAAAATGATTGTTTTAAAAGGACAGATTTTTTGAGCCTGTTGTATATAGTCTTGCCTAGTTCTTAGGTTCTAACCATCTTTTCTATTTCTTAGTAGGATACCTAGTCGTATTTGCCTTCCGAGAGAGACGCTGACTTGTCATTTGGGTCGGGATGGTAATCAGTGATGACATCTGAGGCCTGTGTGGCAACCTGTCTGCTTTCTGGGCTATCCAGTATACCAGCCACCTAACTCGGCCTTCCCCCGAGGGAAGAGTGATTTCCTCACAAACAGTAAAAATATCTGGTTTCTCCGCAGGAATCCAGAGTTTCTGTAAGGACTTGGTGGAGGTGGCAGACATCTTGGAGAAGACTACGGAGTGCATTTCTGAAGAATCAGAGCTTGGGGACCAGAAGCTCACTTTGGAGAAGGTCTTCCGAGGGTTGTCACTTTTAGAAGCAAAGCTGAAAAGTGTGTTTGCCAAGCATGGCCTGGAGAAGCTAACACCCATTGGTGACAAATACGACCCTCATCAGCATGAACTCATCTGTCATGTGCCAGCTGGTGTTGGGGTGCAGCCTGGCACAGTGGCATTAGTAAGGCAAGACGGCTATAAACTTCACGGCCGTACCATTAGACTTGCCCAGGTAGAAGTGGCAGTGGAGTCTCAGAGAAGACTTTGAACAGGCCATCATCAGGAGCTGAATGTTCTCCCAGAGCGCAGTCACCTGTGTGTCTTTTATTTATTAAGCTAGGTTTGTATTGTACATGAAATACTTCATGTGATATGCTTTGAATTTAGTCATATTGGCTTTATTTATAAGATATTCTATTGATTTAACGGGACCTGTTTGGTCTCATCAGAAGTCTTGCCATTGGGCGTTTGAACAATGTGACAAATGTTCCTGTGGCCTTTGTCAAAATATGTTTAGGAAAATTACTTTTAAATTGGTACTCTAATGACTTTGAATCCAAATTCCTTTTTAACTATGTATTTTCAATTAAATACTCCTTTCTAGTGGTCCCTATAACAGGAATTGCATAACATATTTTGTGGAAAAAGGAGACAGTAGAGATTGGTTCATCATTTGGGTACTTAGATGATAAAGCTTTATAGTTGTAAAAATCATTCGGGTTGAGTTTTATACGCATAGATTTTTTTTTCCTTTTCTTTTTTATTTTATTTTATTTTTTGTTTGTTTTTTTAAAAAAACCCAGGTCAACTGCTTGTATACACAAAGATTTTTAAGACTTCTCCTTTTCGTTTTCTTGTTTTTGTTTTAGCCATCTCTTGTCCTTGTAGACCCTGCTAGGTCGGCTTCATTTCACGTTGTCCCATACTCAGTCTTTTCAGATTCCCGTTTGCAGGGGCTAAAGGCTCAGGCAAGACTTGGAGGACAGGGAGCGTCAAGAAATTCAAGACACCCAGATCCCTTTCAAGCAAGGATGGCCAAGAAACCTTGTGCTTTCTTTGCTCTGAGTTATCTTTAAATTATTTTTAGCCTCCCTAGGTATATAATCATTTCAGGCAAACTGAGGCAGCAGTGACCCAAATGGGTCTGTTACATTTACTCATACAACATCTCATTCCACCAGCCCGCCCTTCTCTGCCCCTTCATCAGATTTGCCTTATGATCCTTTACTGGATTATAAGGGAGAGTTATCAGGACAAAACTGTTAGGTTCCCACAATTTCTCATTTTGTTTAGTTATGCTGAAAGTTGTTTTTGAAAGTTTACTTGTCCTCTTTATCATTGTTTGTAATGTAAGTATTCTCCACTCTTAGCAAATTCCCCCCACCCTTTTTTTTTTTGTTTTTAAATTCCACAGATACGTGGTCTTGCTGTGTTGCCCAGGCTAGTCTTGAATTCCTGGGTTCAAGTGGTCCTCCCACCTCAGCCCCCCTAGTAGCTGGGACTACAGGCACGTGCCACCACAGCCTGTGGAAAAAAAAATGTTTTTTAATTGGTACTCACAAATTACTACCTCTCTTACGTTGACAAGCTTTATTTCATAGTTTTTGTATCTGTCTTAGGTCACATTTATATAAACATTTAGCTCTCCTTTTATGTATTAATCTTATACAGTTAATGGACCTGTATGTTTATTTTTTCCAGTCTTGCTTATAGCTGATGTTCTGTAAAAGATTTGTCCAATAAATGACTTAATGAATGAATGATACATCAGTCAGACTTTAGAACGGAGGTCAATTATGGATAGTTTAATGTTGGAGGAAGCCTTAATGATCTAAACTCACCCTTTCTGCTTCTCCTGAAGTATGAAAATCTATTCTTTTTAGGACTAGACCCAAAGGGAAAAAAACCTCTTAGATTTCAGTGCAAACTTGAATGAGGAACAACTAGATATTAACTTCAATCATTTAAGATTACTAGACATGCAAATAAGTCACCAGCAGACAATGAGATGTTGTTAGATGTCCAAATTGCATAGGTTTAGGTTTCAGTCAGTTACCCATAAAATAAATCCACTTTCACTGGAATTCTGATCTCATTCAGTGACGTGGTAAAAGTTACCCTCTTAGACGTGGATAATTCTAAGAGACTAAACAAACGTGTCAATAAAGCCATCCCCCTGTGGGCCCTACCATCTCTCATCAGGTTTAGACACTTAAAAAACAAGTAAATACGCACTTTTAAAATGCAATCAAAAGACTGGTGGTAAGATTTTAAAACCAGATCCTCTTTTGGCATCCCACTAAGTGCATACTGTAAATTTAATGAGCAAATTTCACAATAGGAAATTGTCCTTTTTTGCCTTCATTTCTGAGATTGACAGATGACGACAAGAAAATGAGCCAATTATAATTACCCGTGTGTTTTTGATTGTTAGCTATCATTTACCAATGAATTAGAGTTAGCCATAATTTTACATATGGAATGTTATGATTACCTGAAGAGTTTTCTAATACTCTGTTGCACTTCCTATTTTTTGCAGGTAGATTGAGAATAATTTTACGTTCTTTAATTATTCAGTAGTTTTGCAGACTTATTAAAAGTGTAAATTTAGAATTAGAAGATTAAGCTAAAATAGTAAGAATCTCAAGTTGAAGGGCTTAAGGGAGCCAGAGCAGCGTAATAGAGCATAGGCTTGGTCAGCATTGACTCGAACATAAATCCCAGTTCAGTAACCTGTGGGACTTCGAGCACCTGTCATTTCATCCTCCTGAGCCTGTTTCCTTATTTGTAAATGGTTATAATGCTCGCATGATATTGTGAATGTTGAATGAAACGTGTTCATTGCCTACTGCAGTAGGCCCTCAGATATTTATTTTTATTTTATTATGCATATTATTTTTCCTACCTTTTTATAGCTGTTTAAAGCCTAGGTAAAGGGAAAGACTGGTTAAGTAATGATTACAAAAAACTTGTAAGCTAATCATTCACAGTGACTTATTTTCCTTCCAGGTTCTGGGGTTTTTTATTAACCACACCACAAGAAAGCCACATTTTCAAGCTGAACAAGCAAGAAAATTGTGTCACTGTTCTTAATTATTTCTGTCTTAATGGTAAAGTGAAAAACATTGGCTTACAGATGATCTGTAAGGAAGCTTTGGCTCACTTGAAGGGGAGATCTTGGTGTTTTAGCACTTGGATTCTACATATCTTTTACCAACTTTTACTACTGTAAAGGAGTCAGTCAATTTAATATTGATATAAGTTATTTGGTGCTCTCATTCATAGCAAAAGATTTGATAAATGAAAAGTTCTTCAAACACTAAAGCAAAATCAAATAGGAAAAACTAAGGATGAAAGGTAATATTCAGAAACAACCTTAATAAAATCCACATTGAAATAACTGCAGTTCAGGTGTGCAGAGTCTTTGCCTAATGCATATTGCATATGGTGTGTTACAAGGTCACCTCACTGACTGCTGACCCACCTTGTTGATGCTCAGGAGTGGTACCCTGAGATCTCACAGCAGCACAGCCAAGTGGATGCAGTACAGGCTTTCCACACACTGCCTCAGTGTTGAAGTCTTGTCTGTTTTTCTATCTCCTTGACTTGCCTCTTTATGATTCCTGTTTCTTAGATCTGGCCTACTATTTCTGCCTTCCTTTCTGGCAGTGCCGTGTTTTCTTGGGTTCACTTCTTGGTTCTAATCATATCTGCTTTGACTACTGCACTTGTACTGCTGGACTCCTGACTGTCCTCCTAACCAGATTACTGGCATGTGGCCTTGTTCTGGCCTTCAGCTTCTTGTCCTGCCCAACTTTTTTTTAAAAGACAGGGTCTCACTATGTTGTCCAGGCTGGTCTCAAACTCCTGGGCTCAAGCCATCCTCATGCTTCAGCCCCCTAAGTAGCTGGGATTACTGGCACCAGCCACCACGCCAATCCTCTTTCCCAACTTCTGCCTACCTGGCCTTTGTCTTTACCCTGCTTCTCAGCTGGTCTCCATATACCCAGCCTCCTAGCTGAATGGCCCTCTGGAGCCAGCCTTTCCTGGGATTTGGCCTTGCATTTTCCTCAATCTTCAATCCTGTTTGTACACCCTGGCTCCATAAATTATTGTTTCCCCTATTCCCAGTGCTAGTCAATAAATATATTCTTATTCCTGCCCACTCAAACTTTGTCCACACTCTTAAGTTCACTGTGGTGATTTTAAAACATGGCTCCAGAATTCTTTGACACCTATATTGAGGGGTAGAGCCTATGTCCATTCTCCTTGAATCTTTCTGGAGCTCTGTGATTGCTTGACCAGTAGAATACAGTGGAAGTGGCACTGCCCATTTCTAGACCCAAACCTTTTAAAACTGTCAGCCCCATTTCCTGTCTTGGGATGCTCACCCTTGGAACCTAACCATCATGCTACCCGCAAGCTGAAGTCACCTTGGAGTGGAACTGAGGGTCCTGACTGAGCTTTTAGCTGAGGCTGCAACTTCTTGCCAGCCAGTGAGCTATCCTGAAAGTGGATCCTCCCACCCGCAGTGGAGCAGCCCCAAATGACACCACATGGAACAGATGAGCTGATCTCACCGGAGCCCTGCCCAAAGTGCAGACGTGTGGGCAAAATAGACTATTGCTACTTTAAGCCACCAACTTGGAGTGGTTTGTCACACAGCAGCGGATAACTGATTCAGTCATCCCACCTCATTCCCAGTCTCTGGTGGCACCTCTGTACCACCAGAATTGTGCCTTCTTGCTTTTCCTCTTATCAGCTCTTTTAGAACTTGTCTTACAATTTTGATGAGCTCACACATTGTCAATGGGATGCTAGAAGAAAACAGCTCTAGATTCAGTAATTACAAAGGACCCTAAAATTACAAGAAAAGTAGAGTGAAGAAGATGAATTTCAGGCATTAGCATGCTCAGCCCCAGTGCCACGTGATAAGCCTGTGCCACCTCAGGACTCTGTTGAGTCTCCACCAGCAAGAAGGCTTTCACCAGATGCAGCCCCAATTCTTTTTCTTCATAAATTATTTTTTCTTTTTTTTCCCCAGCTCTGAGATTGGCAGAGAATCTTCATAAATTAAAAGATGAATTTTTTTTTTAGACAAGCATGAAAATGAGGTTTATTGAGGACAGAAAGATAGGATTACATGGCAAAAGCAAGATATAGGTTTACAGAGCATGATACGTACACCACAGATGACTACTGGACCCACTGTCGCAGCAAAGGGAGAGCAAAAGGAAGGGTGCAAAAGGCAAAAAAAAAAGATGAATTTTAATGTTAATATGATATACCCTACAAAAAACTACAAAAATCAGAATAAGCATATAAGAGAACTTGGCACAAAGTGATCAATGAATGCTTGTTTTAAAATTTTTTCAGGGAATATCTTGAATCTCTGGAAATGAACTTAAAAGGTGTTGCATTCTGACACAAAAATTGCCAAAAAAAAATTTTTTTAACGATTATAAGAAATACATGTTTATTCATCTACCACTTTACTAATAGTAATGCAGTTTGGCCCTATTAGATTAAGACTCACAAAACTGACTTAGAACCCCAGCCGTAAACTCTTTTACCTTTCTCTGAATCCCTTCAGTTTCTTCCCTTAGCCATAATCTGACTGAATAAATAGGGATTTTCTTTATTCTGAAACTCATCCCCCTAAGTTTATTTTCTGCCAGAGGAAATCTGTTTTTCACAGCGTGGTAAACCACACTGAGCTGCTCTTATTTTCTTAGAGGATGTAAATAGGAACTTATCCCTTCCTTCTTACCTCTTTTCTTTTCTAAAAAGAGATTGGATAAAACCCTTCCCTTTTCTAGGAAGTAGAAGGCAGATATTAACTACATAAAAACTGCACACGAAAACAGCAGTATCAAAGCATATGGATCTGTTTCAGCGTATGCATAGGGTAGCGTCTAGCCAGCCTGGCTGCATGCTTGGTCAGCAATTTCCATCACTTGCAGACACTGCCAAACGGCTTCGCAACCCTTATCCCTCATGATCGTCACAACCACCTAGAAAGGTAGAGCAGGACTGGTAGGTCCGTTTTATAAAAGAGAAAGAGGTGAGGCACAGAGAAGGCACACTGCAGAGCTAGTAACTCGAAGGTTGGGCATAAACCGAGGTCTTCAAAGCTTCAGTTCTGCCTCTCATCCATCTCCCTGCAGCTGCGCCCTGGTCCTGATGCTGAGAACTCCCGGCCCGCACACCTGCGCCGGAGCGAGGATGAGTCAGCCAATGAGGAACCCGCATCCAGGAGGCGGGACGGAGAGGCTGCCAATGATAGAGCCTTTCCCGAGAGAGATGTAGCTAATGAGGGCCTCGTATTGGAGAGGGACGGCTCCTCGGCCAATGAGAGTCTGGAACCTGCGAGGCAGGAAGGCGGGACGGCCAGTGGGGCGCCGGGGCGGGGCGGGGCGCAGAGCGCCAACCCGCGAGCGCCCGATCGCCGGCGTGCTGCTTCACTCGCCGCCCGCCATGGCCTTCGCTGCCGCGCTCCTCGCCGTGCTGGCCGCGCTCCTCGCCGCCGCCGCTGCAGGCGGAGACGCCGCGCCCGGCAAAATCGGTGCGGGAAGGACGCGGGGCTGGGGGGTTGCTGAGCTGGGGAGGGCTGGGCGGGAAAAGGGCTCTTAGCCGGCAGCAGCTGGGTGGGGGAGGGAGGGCAGCCGGGTGAGGGAGGGTCCTCGGGAGAGGGGCTGAGCGAGGAAGGGGACCGCAGTAGGACCGGTGCTGATGCGGAATGTGGCATGGGCTTGGGAAGAGGGCCACCTGGAACGGAAAAGAGGCCTGAGCAGGACTGGCCGCTGATCTCACCGGAAGGTCCAGGGTCACTGAGCATCAGCCCTAGACCCGGCTCTTTGCTAGGCTCCTGGATGACATAGGACAGGGGCAGGACGATGGCATTCACGAAGGTTTATTGAGGGCTGTCTGTGTGGCAGAGTGCTCTAGTTCCTGCTTGGAGGAGAGACCTCACAATACACGGAAGTCCGTGCTGAGCCGAGAAAGTACCGTGTGTACAGAGAAAAAAGGGTGCTTCACTCCAGTCTTGGTGGCCCGGGGAGGGCTTCCTGGAAGTAATATCTAAGCAAAACCTTGGGCACGTAGGAGACAGTGTTTGCAGAGACAGAACAGTAGATCTGCTGACTGAGGAACTTTTAATAACAGTCATTTTATTTTTTATTTGTGTGGTTCTCCCAATACTTTATTTTGAAAATTTTCAAATGTGCAGCAAAGTTGAAAAAATTTTACGGTGATGATCTGTATACACACCACCTACCTTCTGCCATTAACTGCTAGTATACTTGCTTTGTCACATACCTAACACACACCCTTCTATCCATCCATGAATCCATCCTACATTTTGATGCATTTCAAAATAAATTGCAGACATCAGGACACTTTGCTAAATACTTCATTGTGCATATCATTGACTAGAGTTCCATATGTGTTTATGGTTGCTTTTTTTCCCCCTCTTAACAATTGTCGTTTTAACTCTACATGACTTGTAAAGATTTTCAAGTCCCTCACACTTGAAGTTCCCACAGGCAGAGATGCTAGGCTTCTGGGGTGGGAGGACAGAGTCCCTACTCCACTAGGCTAATCTCCTTGCGCCCTGTTGGCAAGAGTGTCTTGGGACATCTCATGGGAGCACACAGACTTACAGGGGCCAGTGCAGTGCTAAAGCTTTGTGTGTTACAAAACCACAGCCCAGGCCATAAAGGGTTAAGACAGACTGAAGCATGCCAGAAATCAGTTTGGGACTGAGAGTGTGGAGTTTTCTGAGGAAAGAGAATCCTGAGGGCTAGAGTGACCACAGAAGACCTCATGGAGAAAGTGGATTTTGAGCCAGGCTTTGGAGGGTAGGGAATAGTTGGGCAGGCAGTATCGTGGGGTGCAGAGCACTCCCCTTTTTCTTCGGAACAAGCAAAAGGAAAGGACATTTCTCGCTGACCACTGGGGAAGGATCAGAACTTCCTCCCAGCAGAAGAGCTGCGTTGTGGCAACACCCAGCTTTCTGCCTGGCCCCTTCCAACTGGCCCTGCACACCCCACCCAAGAGTCATCCAGAGCAGGACACTTGGCAACACCAAGCTGCCCTTTAGCTTTCCTGATTTTCCTCAGTCCTCTGACAGGAGCCTCTGTCTGCTCTTGGTGGTTTGGACTCTATGCCCAACAAGACTGAGAAGCTTGCTGTTCGGATGTCTTAATCCTTGAGCTCCTGAACGATGAAATCTGAATGCTTCAGTGTGGCGTCAGTACCCTTTAAACCCACCCATATAATTCCACAAGCCACCCTGCTCATTCTGTTCTCTGCAGAGCATGCATTTCTGCTCACCAGCAAAGCTGATTGTCCTCCAGCAGCCTGGATCAAATGTTATTCCCTCTGTGAAGCCTGTGTCCCCACACCCTCTGGGGGTGAATTCATTGCCTCCTCCCCACGACTCCTTGGAACCCTGTAGTTGCACTGTGTCACGAGTTGTCATAGCTAATCATGCATCAGTCTGTGCCCACTCCACCCTGGGCTCCTGGGGGACAGAAGCCCTGTTCGATTGATCTTTGTGCCCCAGCACATCTTACCATAGACCAGAGAGTAGGTGTCAGTTGTATGTGTTGAATGAGCTGATTCACAATGAGGTGATGTCTTTTGCTTCCTGATAGCTCTTGGGCAGCTTTTAGGCTTTGTAATATCGGTTTCTCTAGAAAAATGAGTAATTTGGGACTCTTCAAAAGGAGGGGAGGCAAGCACAGTGTCTAAAAAAAAAGGTTAAGGGTGTTCTTGAAAGTGGCTGTGTAAATACTGAGAAAGAGGAAGTGGTTTATTCTTTCAATAGGCAACAAATACTTCATGAATTCCAGTGCCTGCCAGCATCTGGGAACATAGTGACTGTGCTCTCTCTCTGTCCTTAAACAGAACATTAAAATACAATGTGGTGGCTCAAGGCTGGCCTGTAATCCTAGCAATCTGGGAGGCCAAGGTGGGAAGATTGCTTGAGCTCAGGAGTTTGAGACCAGCCTGAGCAAGAGCAAGACCTTGTCTCTACTGAAAATAGAAAATTCAGCCAGGCATGGTACATGCCTATAGTCCCAGCTACTTGGGAGGCTGAGGCAGGAGGATCGCTTGAGCCCAGGAGTTTGAGGTTGCTGTGAGCTATGATGGTGCCACTGCACTCTACCGGGGCGACAGAGCAAGACTCCGTCTATAAATTAATTAATTAATAAGGCCTGGGATAAGCACAGTGTGCTGAGGGAATATGCAGGAGGGACACCTGACTCATCTCGGGTGGGTCAGGCAAGCCAAGCTACAGGCGAGGCACAGGGTGACGACACTCCTGACAAAGGAGACAGCTCAGGCAGAGCCATGTGCCCACAATAAAGGAAGTCTAGACGGACAAAAAGGTGCAGCAGTGCAAGCGTAGAGCAGGGAGTGGAGTAAGTAAAGGGGGGCCGGATCTTAAAGAATCTGGTGTTGTCTGAGGACTGCCTGTCCCTTCTTGACAGGAGCTGATGGTCCTAGGGTCCAACGTGGGTCCAGTAAGGACAAATTACACCAGATTTATCTCATTTTCTTTTTGGATAGGGTCACTGGACTGTCAGATGAGAGGAAAGCAGTGTTGCAGATACATCGTGGGTAAGGTGGTAGTCCGGTTCAGTAGCTTCATGGCTGGCTTACTGTTCTTCACAGGGCCATTGAATGATTAATGTCTGTCTAAGCAGTGATTCCTGGTAGCACCTGCGAGCCTTGTCCCATGAAATGTTTTATCAGTGATTTAGATGAGAGTACTGGTGCCATGTAAACCAAATTTGCAGATAACAGGAAGGCGGGAGGTGTAGTAAAGATAGTGGATGATAAGACCCAAAAAAAGACCTCAACAAACTGAAACTTTGTAACAAGAGTGCAAACTGGAAGAGTGCCCTATAAGGTAATGAGCAACCCCTCTCAGGGTGCATTCCAGTCTCGGTAAACACAGGCGTAGACATGATTTAAATGTCAGGTGGTAGGTTGGTTTAGACCAGGGGTTGGCAAACTTTTTGTAAAGGGCCAGAGAGTAAATATTTTAGGCTTTTTAGGCCATACGGTACAGCTGCAGCTAGTCGACTCTGCCTAGCATGAAAGCAGCCGTAGACAATAAGTAAAAGAAAGGACATGGCTGAGTTCCAATAAAACTTGTTTGCAAAAACAGGCATCTGCCTGGATTTGGCCTGCAGGCTGTAGTGTGCCAAGCCCTGGATTAAGGAGTGGTTTCCAAACACTGATCCACCAAACAGAATTGCTCAGTAGCTGCTTTTATCAATTCATGGGGAAATAAGAAAATTTGGGACAATGTAGTGAGTTTTGTATAAAACTAAATTTATTTAAATAGTCATCCTGGATTTTGAAATTTTTTGCTGCTATAGTATCTTTTTCTTTATAAAATGAAGGTTATAGTAGGTGGCAATTTTCAGGTTTATCTTTGCTTATTTTTTTTTTTTTTTTTTTTTGAGACAGAGTCTCACTGTGTTGCCCGGGAAAGCTTGGGGTAGAACCAAACTCAAAATAG